GCGGTAGATACTTATTTCTTAGATTTTCATATACAGGACAAATAAACATAAAATGGAATTCGTCTTCAATAATGAAACAGAATGGACATAATCTTTGGGTTTTTTCCATAGAAACATATCTAAACCAGTAAAAAGCATTGTGAATATTTCTGTATTGAAGGTGAGCAAGATAACACTCTGGCTCAAGCAACGACTTAAATTGACGATATGAATCATATCTAGAACTTTCATTAATAGTTGAATGCCATTCCTGCTTAAACATATCAATAGCCCGCATACGAAACTGTTTAATAAACATATTTGCATTGCCAACTGTCTGTGATAACCAAATACAACCAAAACCATATCTAAATAGTAAGGTGCGAATATGGGATGTCCAGTTATTCTTTCCAAGATAATCAAGATGTAAAAGCATATTGAAAGCTTTTTTAGGTAAAGAGTGTTCAGGCATATTAATTATTTTACACCAATATTTTAAACAACGACAATAAGATGATATGTACAATGGGAACCTCCCACATTCACATAAACCACAACATTTGGTGTTGACAAACCGACATTTAGAAACTTTTTACAGGCAAGCAAATGAATTTTTTCTATGGTATAATACTCTTTAAAACCCCATATTTCAGATCCATACAGTAAAATCGGTTGTATCTGAGAGTCAAATAATTTGAAGTAAATAGTTGGTGGAACAAGACCGAGCATAGGAACAACAGAGTGAAGTTGTAAAAGAGCTTTCTTTGCTCTCCTCGCCAGGTTAAGTACGGACTTATTCAGATTCAGCGTATGGGTAAACAATATGCCAAGGTATTTATAATCATTCACAACATTCATGCGTTTATCTTTAAAAAACCATTTCTCTCTAGCCGACAAAGGACCACCTCTACGGAATATAACGATGTTTGTTTTATCTAGATTCACACTCAACTGCCATTTATCTGTTTACGCTGAGAGTATATCTATTTGATTTTGAAGACCAATTACAGAGCTGGACATAAGAATGACATCATCAGCAAATAATAACATAAAAAGTTCGATTACATCGGGAGAAAGTTGGATGCGATGTTTACCAGACTTCATGATATCTAAATATAATTCGTTAATGAAAAAGGAGAAAAGTAAAGGACTTAAGATACATCCTTGACGCAGAGCGACAGGACAATCGAAAAAGTCACTTACCGGTACACCATAGCCACAGCGGACACATGACTTTACATTGGAATACATCGATCTTATGATACCATACATTTTACCTCTCAAACCTATATTTCTTAAGCATTTCCACATTCTACCTCTATCTACAGAATCAAACGGCTTTTTGAAATCTACAAAAGCTACATACAACTTTCGCTTGCTAAAGGATAAATATCTCTCAATAATAGCATACAAGGTAAATATATGATCAAATGTTGAGTAGTCCTTTCTAAATCCAGCTTGAGGTTCCGGTATTAAATCTCTCATATTCGACCATTGTGTTAACCTACTGTTGATAATAGATGTAAAAGTTTTACCTAGAATACTAGTCAGAGAAATACCCCTATAATTGTCAGGATTTTGTGCATTTCGTTTTATATAACGGGATAATAATAGATTGCGCCCATACGGAAGGAAAACGACCTGTATCAAATACTCGATTGAACATTTTAACCAGGAAGGGCATAATGTCAGGTAATGAGTATTTCAGCATTTCTGAAATAACACCATCAACTCCAGCAGATTTACCAACTTTAAGACGAGACACAGCATCCAGTATATCATATTCCGTAATAGGTGATTCCAGCACAAGCCTATCAACATCATTAAACTCTTCACTTAGCACATTGCTGTCACAATCTGATAACCAATTGTCAGCATCGTAAGCAATATCTTCCTTGGAAAAGAGATTCTTAAAATGACATAACCATTCCGTTTGCAATATATTTACTTTGGGGGTAAAGCGACTTTGCAGAGAACAGATATTTTTCCAAAATAGTTTCGGGCTGTTTAGGGAGTTATTAAGTCGCTCAAGTCTTGACGATTGGATATCATATTTGAACTTTCTGCAAGAAGATTTATAAATGTTTCTAAGTCTGCAGTAACCTTTACGATTATATTCACTGCGACATCGTCTAAATTTTCTTAGGGCTTTCTTGCTTTCTGTCCTCGCTTGTCTACAAGCTTTATTCAATTTAGGTTTACTAGTTCCAGGATCAAAATGCTTCATTTGTCTTTTCATACTTGAAGCTGAATGAAGAAGACAATGTACAAAATCTGCAATGCCCTCTTCATGGGAATTTTCAAGTTTAGTTAATAAAGAATTATCATTGATATGCAGCATCTGTCTCAATGATGCAGTAAATAAGTCTATCTTCGATTCATCCCAGACAAATCTAAAGTCGGCGTCATGGTCATCACAATCTACAGTACGCTTAGCATGACTGCTTAAAGGAAACCTGCAAGATAACTCAAGGGGGAAATGCTCAGAGTCTAACCGATCACCAACATTTAGCATTTCTACAAACTCAAAAAAACTAACAGATGCAAGAAAGTAATCAACAACACTAGAACCCCTTTCTCCTACATAAGTAAACTCGCTGCCTTTGTCACCTTCAACTCTGCCGTTCAATATATACAGATGACAAACATAACACAAATCCAATAAAATGCGTCCAAATCTATTAATAGTAGAGTCATGTGATGCCCGCTGCTCGACAGGGGCATTGTCTTCTTCAATATATACATCATCATTACCAAAGTCTACACTTTGCTCAAGGATTGGATTATTTTCATTAGCTGTGTGAGCATTAAAATCCCCACAAAGTAATACATGTGATGACGTGAAATCAGTCCAATGATCCAGTATAAAAGCCTCAAGTTTATCAATAAGGCAACCAGAATTATTATTTCTGTTGTAAAATGTAGAGCCTACAGGCGGAACATACATACACAACAACATGAAATCATTAATTAAACTAAATGTAGCTTTGGGAAATTTTAAACATATCAAATTGTCTATCTGTGTGTTAAGTTGAAAGCACTGGTTCACAATTTCTTGTCTCACACAAACACACACACCACCAGAACATCTACCTGATGAAGATAGTTTCACTGCTGGGGCAAAGTATGTTTGATATCCAGGTAGCCAGTTCAAGTTCGCAAAATCAGTGATAAATGTCACCGTTAAACACACAATATCAAATGACTTGAGATAAGCTATACAGTCAAGGTCATCAAACTTTTTACACAAGCCACTAATGTTCCATGATAATATTGACAGTTTATTGTTACCGGTGCGTGAGTAGTTTCCATCCTGTGAGAGAGGATCCTGGGCCTGGCCGCACTGCTATCTCCTGTTATGAATGTCACTTCGCCTCGTTTGTTGACTGGTTTTCTCCGATCTTCCTGTGTCTTGGGGTTGCGCATCATTACGTGGTTTAGTCATCAGCTTACCATTTTTAAAGTAACCGATCAATCCCTGGGCTCTAACATCCTTAAGTTGTTGGCGTTGTCTGGCGGTTAAATCATTGGACACGCCATAACCGTTACTCTTGAGTGTTGCTCGTGATTTCAGAACCTCGATCTTGTCATCAGAGAGGCGTAATTTAGCGATGAGCGGTCTCGTTGGGAGCCGAGTCGATGTGGTCATATGACGTCATCAGCAGTCCAGGTCTTAGTCTTTACATTATTGTTCAAAATGTTAAGTACTTTGAACTTACAATCGTTGTGCGACTCCCCTGTATCCTCTGCAACATTGTATATAATAATGTTGTCACGTCTGCTGAAGGCTTCTAGTTTGTCGATCTCGCTGTCGAACTGTGATATTTTCTTCTCTACGTTTTCCATCTGGACGGAGATCAAGGAGACGTCCTCATACATTATGTCCTGATTGTGACGCACATTTTCCAGATCACTATGGAGGTTTGACAGCTTTGTTTTGAGATCTGTAAACCTGGTACTTAAATCGCGGACTTCTCTCGAGAGTGAGCTGATCTGGCCTCCAAGCTCATGCTTCATGTTCTGTACTTCCTTCAATATATGGTGTCCCTAACTTCGTCTAGGGTCACTTGTCCAGGGTTCATTTCTACGTCGTTAGCACACAGAATCCTATGTGTTATAACCCCAGCCGGCATGGGATTACCTCCTAATAGACAAGTGTCGGGTGTACGTTGAGATTGAGCTACCCAAGCTGTAAAATCAGCTTCAAAAGGCATGACGTCAGTGGCATATACAAGTTCATAAACATGCTCTTTTGGTAAATATGAGTGAAAATCGATATTTTCACATGTGGCCATAACAGCATAACTCAATCCCATGTGCAGCGAAAACATCATTGCACACAAAACAAGTCTGAAATGCACATCAGTACCAACGACAGTTGGTAAATACTCGCCATGTTTGTCGAGCGTTACTTGCCGGGTGCCCTTGGGTTGAGAGAAGAGTCCAATTCTTGCCCTATATACGCCAATCGACACCATTTCTTCTTTTGAAAAGGTCACTTGTAGTATCACACACACGTTTTACACCACCTATGATGTCATAAGTGTGGATAATCACGAGTAAAACAATATACAGCCATTTTTTCCCGAGAGCGACAACACACACGTCTTCTCACCAACGCATGCGCACAAACCAAGACCTCATAGCCCAGAGTCACAACACAACAAAATGCCTGTACAAATTCACACTTATTTGTGATGAACTAATAGTGATGGAGAGTTGGTAAAAGGTTTACATGAGGTTATAATTGTTTGTTATTTAATGTGCATGTGCAATATTCAAGCTGTGTGGTGGCACTCTGTAAAAAATCAAAGCTGAACCAGCCAATCCAGTGATCAACAGCATAAGCATTGATCTATGCAGTTGGGATATGATGACATGTGTCAACAAAGTCAGCCAGCCTGACCACCCAATCCTGTTAGTCGCCTTTTACGACAAGCATGGGTTGCTGAAGATCAATTCTAACCCGTGTTCTTCATGGTTGGAGTTGGTGTTAGTACAAATTCTATGAAAATCCTTACAGCGTTAATTCCTGAGAACTGTTGTGACAGCTGGAGGACAACGCTGATGATAAGTGGGATGCGGAGCTCATTGTGGAGAAACAGATGTGATATCTTGAACTGAAAAACATTTGACACACATAATATAATATAATAAATGTAGTAATAATCAGTTCACTTTTAACATATCCCTAATAATTTTTCTAAGTCATTTAAAGGATATTTTTTATTTGTTCCAAATATTAAAACAAGAACTAAAGGGAATTCCTTTACTTTATCAAAGCATTATGTTAACATGTTCTGGATCAGGAGTGATGTGAAACGGTGTTTAGCATCACGTTCAAGGTTACTGCCCTCATTTAGACTTGTGGTGTTGTGTTTTGTTGTGTTTTTTGTGCCGTGGCTTGGTGTGGTGTGAGGGGCAGTGGGGTAGCCTAGCGGTTAAAGCATTCGCTCGTTACACCGAAGATCCGGGTTCGATTCCCCACATGGGTACAATGTGTGAAGCCCATTTCTGGTGTCCCCCGCCATGATATTGCTGGAATATTGCTAAAAGCGGCGTAAAATCATACTCACTCACTGGTGTGGCGTGGCTTGGTTTAGTGTGCATACTGTTGCAGTCAGTTTAACATTGAGACACTACTCACAGATACTTGTTGACAAATTGCATTCTATCCCCTTTATATCATGCAAAAGGGTGAATGAGTGAGTGAGTGAGTGAGTGCATGAATGAGTAAGTGAACAAGTGAGTGAGTGTGTGAATGAGTGAGTGATTCCAAGTCTTCGGTGTTATGAGCAAACACTTTAACTACTAGGCTACCCTACTGCCCCACACAAAACAGGATGATCTAACAACTGACTTGCAGAAACCAGACTATGGAGACCGTCATGGTCCAGAAAGTCATCTTAAGATCATTTTGTGGAATGTGACCGTGTCATCTATTCAGCAGCGTCTACTGGAATGGCATGTTATAAACAAATATGTTATAAATAAATATCCTTACATCAGAATGTTTCTCTTCAGCAGCTTTTTCAAAATTCATCTCTTCAATTTCATCCTCTACGTCATATGACTTCCTCAGCCACATCAGCGCTGTGAACAACAACATCAGTGGCTATCAAACATTTCAGCATTAACAAACAAAACAACATCAGAAGGATAAACAAACAATAATTTATCTTCCCTGGAGCAATTTCTCACAATGATGTAAAGCAAAAATACATATAAACAAATACTCTTGAGAAATTACTTCAAACAGGACTTTAGGATACAAATGTGTTTGCTATTTAATGATTTTCAGAATTTCAATTATATTTAATACTTTGTGGCTGGCTATCTGCACTATTCAAAGATATTCAAAAGAAAAACATTTTTCAATATTTTTGTTGACCAACGAGAAAGCAAAATGATATAACTGAGATGGTACCAGCACTATCTCCCCTCATGTATGATATCAATGAAATCTATTCAATTAAAAGAGCACATTGCATATGTGCTTTTGAGTTTCGGTTTGTCCATGTTACTGATAAAGAAAACTCTGTGTATCTTTTCTCAATAATTCTTTAGGGGACAACAGAAATCTGAAGTCACCTCCATTCTCAAGTGAATGAGCGAGTGATATTAGTTTGTTTTTTGTTTTGTTTTGGGTTTTGAGGGGAGGTTGAGGATAGTCTAAATTGTTAAAGCATCCACGGCCCGGGTTTGATTCCCCACATGGGTACAATGTGTGAAGCCCATTTCTGGTGTCCACTGCCATGATATTGCTGGATTATTGCTAAAAGGGGCGTAAAACGGTTCACACCCGTACCGTCGAATGTTTTATTGAATACACTTCCTGACTTTTGAAAAGCAGAGGACTGTGGCAATGCTCACCACTGCTCTAATAACACCCGGAGTGTCGACTGCCTTGGAGAACATGACTGCCTTGCAGAAAGACTGTGCTAATCCGCTCTACTCTAATTAACGAGGGAGAAGACATGAGTGCTATTGTTGTTGAAATGAGAAAAGAGTTTGAGTTAACTAAATTTGTATTTGTATGTATTGTTGTTGTTGTTGTTGAAATGAGAAGGTTTGTATCAGATTTGTCACATGATGGAGACAACAGTCACATCCTTGTCTTTGCCACTACTGCCAGAAACTTGGCCTAGTGACTGAGTACAAAGAGTGTGATGACTTGCGACGACTTGTACGACATGCCGTTTCACTAGCTTTGGTGCCTGTTGATCAAGTTGAGGATGTTTGTGTCCAGGCTATTGTTGATGCTCCTCAAGGCGCTGCTATCACCAGATTTATGGACTACATCACAGAGACATGGGTGGATTGACCTAATCAGTGGAAGAAGGAGCTGTGGAACCAATTCCTGAATGATGGCCGTCGCACGAACAATAATCAAGAATGTTGGCATCATTGTTTGAACAATATCAGTGAGAAATGTCATCCCAACATCTATGAGCATGCTCGTGTGCTGAAGAGAGAGCAGTCCTTTGTTGAGGTCCGCCTTGCTCAACATGCACCAGCAAGGAAGCACTGCTACCGCAAGCTTGACAGAAGGCTTCAGCGTCTCAAGGTTCAGCTTCAGAGATAAGAGATTACCATAATGAACTGTGCTGATCAGACTGGCTACCTTGCTAATTTGGGGTGAATATGATGTGAGTCAAGGGTCTATGAGCAGTGTACATTGTTCGTTGTAACAAAGTGGCCACAATAAAGAATGTACTGTATAAAGTATTTTGTTTTCCTTAATGCCCAGAGCATCGAACGTCATAGTGTTAACGCCTAATTATCTCCTTACATAATACCCGAAACATCGAATTTATAAAATTTCAATTTTCGACAGTCCGAGTGGACACCCTCCAAACAACTCACTCAGTAGAAGACCCTTCAAGGATTAGATACCATGGCTCATAACCAAAAGGTGTACAGATATCCACAACAATGTAATAACATGGCTTCATTTTGTTTTTCATGGAAATTCCAAGATTATATTTGCTTTTATGATACAGAAATTAAATTAATGTTTTGCTCACACGAAACTTAAATTTACATCCTTTATGCTGATTGGTTAATAAGAAAGATTACCTGACACAAACTCTTAACGAGGTACCCTCAGATCTTCACACAGAGACACATGATCTCAGAGAAAAATGTCACTGACCTTTCTTGGCACCCTCTGTATCCTCCCGAGCCAGCATCAGGAAACGGGGACTCTCGGGACAAAAGGTCAGTGTCAACAGCTGGAACACCACAGGTCCGCAGGTCAGAGCTAAAACAAACAAGTTCACTGCTACTCAGTCTTGGTCCTCTCAGTCATGGTTTTATTCTTATTTTCACCAGTAACGGGCAGTGGGGTAGCCTAGTGGTTAAAGTGTTTGCTTTTCACGCCTAAGGCCCGGGTTCGATTCTCCAAATGGGGACAATGTGTGAAGCCCATTTCTGGTGTCCCCTGCCATGATATTGCTGGAATATTGCTAAAAGCGGCATAAAACCCAACTCACTCACTCACTGTTTTCACCAGTAACAGATTTTCTTTTCTGAAGGATATAGCTACAAACAGCTTTATTCCATGTTAACTTGTAAATGATCAAGCCTGGACCAGACAAACCAATGATTAACAAGAAATATAGGAACATTTCTTACTCAAAATCCCAACAAGGGACAAATAGTTGACATCTGTTTCTCAGTGGTTGACTTTATGAGTTGTCAAATTAAGAGGGAGTGATTTGGTTGGTTGGTTTGTTGTTTAACGATACACACAGCAATATTACATCTATATGGCAGTGGGCTGTAAAAAATCGAGTATGGGCCAGAAAATCCAGTGATCAACAGCATGAACATTGACCTACGCAATTGGGATACGATGACATGTGTCAACTAAGTCAGCGAGTCTGACCACCCAATGCAGTTAGTCGCCTGTTACAACAAACATGGGTTGCTGAAGACCAATTTGAAAATTTTAACTATAAATTGTATATTTATAATACTTATCCTATCTCACGGATTGTACTTATCCCACGGTTGGATGGTGGGCCACAGATTACCCTGTGTCTGAGTGGATGCAACCGTGGTGATGTGATGATGCTGCACAAGGAGGCCTGTTATGAGCATAATCTCCTGATTGAGTGCATAACTCGTATACTTGTGATGGGTTGCTTCTTCCAAACCCATTGGCTTAGCACAAAAACTCCCAGGGAGTGGGCGCTCCCAAGTAAATGTGGTTTTCAGCCGCAACTTTTGTTCAAGACAATCGAATGACCCTTGTTCCTTTGCATAAGCTTAGTTAACGATGTGCCCAGCAACTCGTAGCGAACCTAATCAAGATCCAATGGAATTTGGTATTCACACTTCACTGATTGCTTGTTAGAGTAGAGTATGAGTGTCGATCACCTTTGCATCAGAGTACAAGACTGGCCTCTCAGTCTATGACGAAGTCACGCAGCTGACTGTAACTGCAATGCCCCAGCATAGAACAAGGTGAGGTAGATCTAATGCCAAAGGAAAGAAGAACGAAGATGAAACTGGAGTTACATACATCTTGATTCACTTTATACAAGGTAACACCGATTTTGAGGATTGAGGATGTCACTATCTGCATGGTCGGGCCAAGGACAGCTGCGGCGCCAGTACCAGAGGACCAAACTGATGGTGTCCTCCTACGTCTGTCACTGAGAGGTTGTGCAGGTAGTGGATAGTAAAGACCGTCTCTCTCAAAAAACATCCCTCCATAATAGATGTCAGCGAACAGTTACTGTGAAGTGCCATTGTTGATGCTAAGGCCCGAGTCTCTTGAGGGATCTATGCAGCTTCAGGGGGAAAACCGGCGAAAGTGTAGGCTGGCAGCATGGCCTAGACGCATCCAGAAGGCAAGTGTGGAACAAGAGACTTCTGCTGATGAGGGTGTTGAGAGCGGGATAAACAGGCGCTTGCGCAACCTGCGACAGTCTTGCAAGGGAGCTATGTAAATCTTCAGAGCTCTGACAGGACAGAGCGCAAGATCTTTGGTGTTGTCAGGCCTGAGCATGGTGGACAATGGCAGTAGAGTGAATAGTCTATCAGGCTGCCCTGGCAGTTGGTTCTTTGCTATGAAGTCCTTTTGGGGACCCAGAAAAACTCATGCCTCTTCCTCTCGAAACATTCTCGATTGACATCCAGAGCATGGAGTTCCAGCATACGTGCAGCAGTAGCAAGAGCTACCAGGAAGAAGGTCTCAAATGTGATGCGCTCAAAGTTCTTCACTTCTTGAGGTTATATTGGTTGGAGAAGAGGTGTTTAAAGACGATGGAGAGTTCCCAGACTGGAGGTCTGAACTTCTCCAATTGGTCAGATAACTTCTATGAGTACAGAAGGGATTGGAGTTCAGGCACAGTGGAAATCTTGTTGCCAGTTGCCGTAGCTATCACCGTGTTGATGGCTGCTAAATAGTTGGCAAGGGTAGACACCTTGAGGATGGACCAATACATCGTCTCGGCCGGGTAGAGCCACTGGGTATGGACCGGCAAAACTCATCAGATTGGCCAATAAGGCACGACCAAAGGCTGTGTTATCTTCTTGGTGGATCATAACTTCTGTAGTACTTGTGTTAGAAGCGCCGGTGGTGGGAACACGAAAGCATTAGATTCTCACATGCAATCACTAGAGCGTCTTGCCCCCACAATAGTGTGTCCGAAATTGGTGACACGAATCTGGGTAACTTACTGTTGAACCTGGTCTGCCATCCATGCTTGCATGTGCGTCGTATCTACAAGATCAATGCTACCCTAAGGCACAGACAGAGGTAGGACTTGACGGCTCTGATTTGGAAAGGTATGTAGTTGCAGTACCCACAATGAAACTGGAGGTCAAAGGATCGGCAATCCGTTGGTATGCGTCCAAAGGATGTAAAAGTTATATCAAGTTCTCCGATGTCTGATGTCTTGCCGAATTCAAGGGGATCGTGAATTGTGAGGAACCACCGCATTTTGCCAGTTCACCGAATGTGGGTTTGCCGCATCTTGTAATACCAATGAATGTGGGTCTGCCGCATTGTGCCTGTTCAGGGGATCGGCGATATGAACGATGCATACAAATTCACACTCAATAATAATTTGATGGCGTATCAAGAAGTTGTCTGATCTGATATATGTGTGGTCGTTCTATGTGCCTTCTTCACGGACCTCTTGGATTTCTTAGATGAAGAAGGGCCAAATTCTTGTGCCTGGAGTCCCTGTCAGCATGAAATAGTCGTCTCAAATTCTTTCTTTCTTCAATCTCTGATCTTAGCTGAAGTAGAGCCTGATTCTTCTATAGAGTTAGCAAAGCTGTCGTCGTCTAACTTGGCGCATAGGCTGCACCTGATCTTCCTCTTCTATTCTCCAACCGTTATGGTTATTTAAGTCAGATTATATGCCACAGTTTACAGCACGTCAGCACCCTAATGCGACAAGAAAGAGAATGACAAGATAAAGGAGTCACATGATCAACCGGAGAGCATGCTGAAGGCTTCTTTGGGGCCACCAGGCTGTCCGGAAACGGGAGCAGTGGGGCGTGTTTGGGCGAGAGGTTCAAGAGAGGCCAGAAACTTTTACAGCTTGTTCCCACTCAACTGTCGATCAGAGTACAATCTGTGAGATAGGATAAGTTAAAAAATGTGAGGTTTCAAATTTTACACAGCTCTTTGTAATCCAGTATATCATATCAATTTTACCATAACAAAATCAAGCACAAACATTTATGAAGATATTTGAGCAGGGAGATGTTTTTTAGCATTAGATTAATGAATCGAATGGAGGAATCACAATAATCACACCTAGACATATTGGCCATAATGATCGTGAACCAAGGATGAATTCCATCCCCAGTAGTTGAGACACAAACACTCCGATTGTGAGTGCCAACTGATTGAATGTGCCTGCCAGCCCACGCTGGGATATTGGTGCAATCTCAGACAGGTACATGGGAACAATGCCAGTGTTGATTCCTGGAACAATAAGAACACAACACATTCTCAGACAGGTACATGGGAACAATGCCAGTGTTGATTCCTGGAACAATGAGAACACAACACATTCTCAGACAGGTACATGGGAACAATGCCAGTGTTGATTCCTGGAACAATGAGAACACAACACATTCTCAGACAGGTACATGGGAACAATGCCAGTGTTGATTCCTGGAACAATAAGAACACAACACAATCTCAGACAGGTACATGGGAACAATGCCAGTGTTGATTCCTGGAACAATAAGAACACAACACAATCTCAGACAGGTACATGGGAACAATGCCAGTATTGATTCCTGGAACAATGAGAACACAACACAATCTCAGACAGGTACATGGGAACAATGCCAGTGTTGATTCCTGGAACAATGAGAACACAACACATTCTCAGACAGGTACATGGGAACAATGCCAGTGTTGATTCCTGGAACAATAAGAACACAACACAATCTCAGACAGGTACATGGGAACAATGCCAGTGTTGATTCCTGGAACAATAAGAACACAACACAATCTCAGACAGGTACATGGGAACAATGCCAGTATTGATTCCTGGAACAATGAGAACACAAAACAATCTCAGACAGGTACCTGTATTTCTACAATTATGAGAACAAAACATGTTATCAGCAAGACAATTGAACCTCAGCCACATACACATTTGTATATTATGGGGCAGAAGCTATTCAAAATATGTGATAAAAATCTTTTAAAGTGAAGCAATGTTACTGGTCAATATGGGCTTCTATCGTAGCTTGTCCTTAAACAAAGTTCTGTTTAATACCTTGTTGTTAGTTTGTTTGTTGTTTAATGTCACACTCAGCAATATTCAAGCTGATTTCAATTTGTAAATAATCAAGTTTGGGCAAGACAATCCATTGATTGACATAATGACCATTGATGTACACAGTTGGGATGCGATGAAACATTTCAGACAAGTCGGTGAGGCTGAGCTCCCAAACTCAGTTGTTGCCTCTTATGACAAGCATGGGCTGTTGAAGATCAATTCCCAAGATCTTCGTGGGTTAATACCATCAACTGACTGACAAAGCTGACCATATAAATCTCAAGTGAGTTCATGACTCCGTTTGTTGGAATATTTATCGGTTCTGTCTTGAATTAATCAGTCAGTTCCACTCTACCTGAATTTATTCCGGAGATAACTCGACCCACAATGAGCATTTCGTAGGACTTGGCCATCTTGGAGAAACCCAGCAGTCCACCAGCTATCACTGCAGTAACGTTGTTCCTCAGCAGAGCCCCTTTCCTGCATGGAATCCAAACAACTGACGTGTTACTGAGCGAAATACATGAGATGCAGTTTTACACAACCATCAAAACAGAACCTTTTTTGTTTTCTCCATGGAAATACTGTGTAAATGAAATAAACAAATTGGAAATTTTAACTATAAATTGTATATTTATAAACATACTTATCCTATCTCATGGTATGCTCTTTATATATTAACGAATATTCACGATTTTTTTAAGGGAGCATGTTTTACTTGAACCCTTATGTCCTTTCCAAAGGGAGATATGCAAGAATGGAGCATGTACTAGCATTGCAGTAGTGCAAGTCATGTTAGTTTGCCAAGACTGCACATGGTACTGTCGATTTTAACTATTACATACCAAATTTGAGTGCCATGAGATCACTGGTAATGGCTGTGACAAATCAAAACTGTCAACATGGGCGTTCTATAAAGTGCATCAATCACTTAACTACAATATTGTATTCGTGAATAATTATTCGTATTCGTTACCCAAAATGCAAGTGTAGGTTAAAAATGGGACTCAAGTTATAATCATCTTAGTGCTGAGATACGTTTGTGGAAAGGTGGCCAGATGAACAAACCTGCCATATCTGTTGGCCAAATATCCAGCACTGACACCGCCAATCATGCCACCGACTGCATATATGGCAACAGTGATGGACCACAGCAGGGTCTTCAGTGATGGCTGCATGTATTCCCCATGCCGATTAAAGTAGGTTTCATTGTAGAAATCCTTTATAATCTGAGAAAAGCAATACTAGAATTTGTTTGAATGGCATCATCATCTTCATACAGAAACATTATGTGAGCATTGTCTATTGAAGGCCAACACAAACTTACATATCTACACAAATTACTAATATTTCCTGAACAAAATGCTTTCTTTACTGTTAAGACCAGAATAAATTTCTTGTAATTTCTTGTTTTTCCAAGTTTCTGCAAAATTTGGGGACAAACAGAACGAGACGTTAACAACTGAATAAGTTCTTGTTTGAATCGGAAAAACAAAAACAAATTTTAATCTGGCGGTAATATTTATCACAGATCTAGATGCACAGACTGCTCACCACCACACACCACATGCACTTCTTTTTTAAAATGTGTTGTAATTATTTCTAAATTTTAGAAACAAACAATATGTTCCTGTTTCATGCATTCATTGTATTTCAGTGCACCCTTTCACTTTACACACAGTCTCCCTCATGACCAAGCTCTGTACCAGTTCTGGAGAGTTGACTACTCCTAGGTTGTAGCCAAACTGGAAGGATGAACCCAAGGTGATGGCTGCGATGGCCAAGGCCAGGTGGCTGTTGAAACCCTGCAACACAGTACATACATTCCCTCAAGAAATAATGACTGATAAAGACTTCACAATCTTCCCTGAGCAAATCTATTACATAAGTGCTTAACAAAGTGCGTTTACAATTAAGAGCTTACTTACATGGAGAAATAACTGTAAAAATTAAACTGGGAACCAACTATTCAGACAGCAACTTTCTGCTCAATCATATTGTATTGTATTTGATTGATTTGTTGCTTAACACTACACTCAGCAATATGTGGTGACGGTCTGTAAATAATCAAGTCTGGAACAGAAAATCCAGTGATCAACATTATGAGCATTGATCATCGCATTTGGGATATGACAACATGTGTCAACCAAGTCAGCGAGCCTGACCACCCAATTCTGTTAGTTAATTCTTACAACAAGCATTGATTGCTGAAGACCAATTATAACCCCTATCTTCACGGGTCTGCTCAATCAGAGGGAGTGAATGAGTTTAGTTTTACGCCACACTCAGCAATATTCCAGCTATATGGCAGTGGTCTGTAAATAATCGAGTCTGGACCAGACAATCCTGATCCTGGGATCAACAGCATGAACATCCATCTATGCAATTGGGATACGATGACATGTGTCAACCCAGTCGGCGAGCCTGACCACCTGATCCTGTTAGTCGCCTCTTACGACAAGCATGGGTTACTGAAGATCAATTCTAACCTGGATCTTCACAGGCTTGCTCAGAGAAAAAACAGCTACATTGTGATCAAAGTCCCATTCCAGTGTAGTGCAATTACATGAAATCGGCCACAAAGGCAAGTCTTTTGGCACAATTCATTTAGTCCTGTTTCTGACAAGCAGAGATTACTACTACTCCCAATCTAACATTAGCCCTCATAGGATAGAATAATCATTTGTCAATAAATTAGTAGAGCTGTGTATCGTGGCCTAAGTGGCGAGACGATATATCCCAATACCAGTTTAATGAGGCGAGACGATATATCATGAAAGTATTGGCAAGGAACCTGCGAGACAATTATCATCACGATACAATGGTGGCGATACGATACGTATCCCGATACTTTACAATTTCTAATAACAGAACAGGTATGATAGATAAAATGACCAAAACTTATTTGTTATACAGCAAAACTTGTGTTACCCGGTACATTCACACACACTTCAGAAGCTGTTAATCTGATAAAATTTCAGCATTGAATGGTTAAGAAAGTACAATCAAACATATTCAGTATACCTTGATCTGCTATAAGTAAATCTGAAATTGAAGTTTCCTTTGAGAAGTTATATTTCCACACCAATGCTTTCACAAACAATTCAATGTAATTTATATCAGAATTCAAAATCACTGAAAAAAGCCCCTCTTAAGTCTGCTTTCTAATTTTTATCTTATTTTGTTCTCTTTCTTAAAAAAAGCTTTGTCATCATTCATAGTTGTTAATAAATGGTGTTATTTGTCAGACAACTAAAACAAGATGAATATTCTACAGTTCACAGAGTTTGAAAAATGTTCACACTCTTTCACTTATACCCAAACTCCTTTGTTCATGTAACAAAGATAACAGACACAAACAAATTCCTATTTTAGTTTTCTTAGTAAATTATGCAAGTAGTATCGAGATATATCATCTCTTGTGGCGATACATCGATGTATCATGGACCCCCGCGACATAAATATCCTGATATATTGCCTAAATATCATTTGTATCGATGCACTCGTATCGCGTAGTTGACGATGCAAACCTTGATACTATCGATGAATCGTTACACCACTATAAATTAGACATATGTCCTAGCTCACTTGATCATCATAACAGTTGAGACTCAGGGTGTAACCATTTGATTTTCAGTGAGATTTTTGTTTAAGGCCGGCATATTTAGTTTCAGTGTTTGGGATCTCAATCTAACATAAACAGGTCCATGGTGTATTAGGCCACATGACCTCATTAAGTTGTTATAACAATTGAGACATTTTACAATCCCCTAGTATATATTATATTACAAGTATATATGTTATTGTATTGTGACTCTTTTTCCTGTGACATTTTTTCCAGTGACCTTCTTTCCTACATTCCATAAAATAATTTCTCATTACCGCCCGACCCTAAAATTTGGTCCGACCTTGAATTTTATTTTATTTTTTTTAACTGGTAACTTTGCCTGGATAAAGTCGGTAACAGGCCAAACTGTCTCCCTGGCTAAACCTTCCCCGAGGAAACTTTGGCCTATTCCAAACTTTCCTCCCTTTAATAAGGCTTAATCTTCCCCATGGAAAGTTTGACCATGGCCAAATTTTCCCCACCCTTCAATCAACTTTAAAGGCTACTTCTTTCCCACCCTTGTTCTTAGATCAAAAGGGGGAGATTCTGGCCTAGCTAGGCTATTTCTTCCCCAACCTTGTTTTCATGTTTATGCTCATCTCAAAAAAGTCAGAAACGAAAACAAGACAGCTATTCATGTGAACACATTGATAAGATATTCATGTTGATGACATGCAACGTAAAACAAAACTTTGCAGATTCTGATACCTTTCGGTATGGACTTACCGAAACAAATCATCAAAAATGCAAATTCAACTTATAAAGTTGAAAAATAACGCGATGAAAAAAACCGCGCGAAATCGGAGTTCAAGCGATTCACTAATTTTCCCCGACTTTCGGGGAAAACTGGTTTCAACAGCTGGGCTGCTCATAGCACGCGTGCAGTGAAATAGGTTCACAAGAACTTGGAAGGCGGGCTGTCCGGTGAATACTCGGTGAAGGCTTTGGTGTGAGCTATTTTCATAATGTTTTGTTGATATCTCACAGTAGCGAGCTTTTATATGTTATGACAGTAAATAAACTGTTTATATAATTTCATTTGTCTATTTCACCACACATTCTTCTTACCGAGTCACTTTTTCAGTTCGATACTTAAAAGCAATGTCATTATTTAGCGTTGACAGAATTTCTAACTGTGATATAGATATGTCGTTGTCACAGACAAAACTCAATGTCTTGTTTTATTGACACCTGTGTGTCTGCCTGCCTGTCTGCTAATGACAATATTCAATACACAACTGAGATCACTGACCACATGCAATCTGAACTTAACACCAATCAGGCTATACACCATAAACAAAATGCATTGATTTATGGCCCGAGTTCGGTCTCTGTCACATTATGTAATTACACAGACAGGAAGGTGTGATACTTGAACACATGACATGTTATGATGTCTGTTGATTGCAAAATGTTATACACAAAAAATGAGCATGTATTTACAAAACCCAACATCTCTATATATACACTCACAATGAGTCGTGAGGGCATCTGCAAATGAACCAGCCGTTCACTTGAGTGCACACCCACCCGTAAATATCAACACAACAACAACAACAACCCAACGCAATATCTATATCAAATGCTGTATCATCTATCATTCCACTATAGTGCCGTATTCTAAATTCAAAAGGCAAGGTTTGACTTTGACAAAGACTTGGCCCATGGATATATGAAACACATTTCATTCACCAAAAGTGATTATCGATTAGTATACAAGCTTATATGAATAATGTTCCATTACATTTATACATAAATACAACAAATATTAGATTATAAACAGCATGATAAGAGAGCAAGCAACCTGTGTATATTACATCTTATTTACCCATCAAATGTGAAATTGAATGTTTACATCTTATGGTGACATGATTTGGACAGATGAAGAAGTAATGCAATGTGTCTTCATAGGAATGACAACAGGAGCAGGACGGATTTAGAGATATATGCAGTTCAAACATGTATGCATTCAAATCACAACACCCAAGTCAGAGGCAAGAATGGACTATTTGGCAAAAATGTGTACCAAAATTTAAGTAAAAACTTCTGTCGGTTTGATGTTTGTGAGAACTTGTTCTCTCCCTTTTGATAAAAGAACAAGGGTGGGGAAGAAGTGGCCTAGCTAGGCCAGAATCTCCCCCCTTTTCATAGTAAACAGACCAAAATATCCTAGCTTACACAGGGGGGAAACTTTGGCCTAGGGGAACTTTAGCCTAGCCCAAACTTTCTCCGGGGTAAGAATATCCTAGGACAAAACTTCCCCGGGGAAAGTTTGGCCTAGGCCAGATTCTCCCCGGGGAAAGTTTAGACCGGGGAAGAAATGGGCCTGCTACACCGGCAGACTTCCATCACAGCTTCCAAATTGTTTACTAACGTTGTAAAGAAATATTAAAAAATAAAAATAAAATCTGCCCTACTTACCAATTTAAAAAAAAGAAAAATGATGAGAAACAAGAAATTTATTTTATGTGGCCTTATATGAGCTCAGGGTTTTACGGGAATATTCCTGCATATTGGACACAGAAATTTGGTGAAGTACCCCCAAACTAAAATCCTGCAGTTTGCAGTGATATCCTGTATTAAAATATAAACATTCTATTTACAATCATTATTCTAATGACATTGAAAGTAACACATATCTTAACATAATCATTATCAAATGGGAAGCATTCATTATCATTGATTTAATGCAAATTGATGGACCCCCAATTTTGGAAATGGACTCTCAAAATAATACGCCCTGAGTCCCCAGGACTCCCAGTTTCGAAGAGCTATGTAAAACCCTGTGAGCTTTGGGGTATTATAAGAGTGGACACATGTTATATGCACTGGGTACACACAGAGACATCACTGTAAACCCAAAACAAATTTGTGTATCACTGTGAAATAACTGATCATGCATCACATATTTTACACAAATCTGTATCCCAAATGTACCATCAACTTAGTTCCTTCAACCTGTTTACGGAATAATGAGATCGAAATTTAATGCATGATCTATGGCAAAACTAGATGATGGTACAGCATTTCATGATAATGATACTCAGCGCTGATGAATGTTTCATGCTGAAGTGAATTGTTACATAATGAATATCACAATCAGACCATAACTGAATATAATGTTGAAAATGCTATGCTTAATACAACTGAAAAACAAAACAAAAAGAAAAACAAATATCAATAATACATTCCCACTAA